GTGTTTTTAATGCCCGCTGCTGGGGCATTTTGCTGCCACGCTGGTGGAGCGGGGGAGAGCTCCTGGCAATAGCTCCCCAGGCAAGGCCACAGCTTCCTGCAACAGGATGCTGCTCGTCACTGTGCCCTAGCATTGACCCAGGCCATGCAGGGGTGCAGGCTGAGTGGGGCTTGGGCGCAGAGCAGCAGTCCCACACGTCCCTTTGTGGCAGGAAGCAGCTTGTGGCTTGCCCAGAACAAAGGCATCATTTCCAGGCAGGGGCTTGCTTCTCTGTGATAGGCCAAAAACAAGCAAGTCAGGCTGGAGGCCGAGTCCCTGCAGCCACCAGCTTAGTACTTCAGATGCTTCTGAGCTCTGCCACTCGCTGCTTCCAGGCACCCGGCCCCATGGCATAAAGCACGCTCGGGATGCAGTGCTACACAGAGCCCATGCAGGACCCGATGCCAAGCCTGTGCCCCTTGTCCTGAGCCTCTTCAGAAGAGGCCCTTTCCCTCGGCATCCCCGGCAGAGCAGCTGGTGCAGCGATACAGGCAGTGTCTGCCTCCACCCATGTCACCTGCTCCAAAAAGGGTGGTTTACTACCCAGCTGCTTCCTGTACTAGCAGCACCAACCCTGCCAGCAACCTGACGGCTGCCTGGCACATTACCCAGGGGCCACTGCTTGTCTCCAGCAGCTGTATTAACCTAGCTCTCAACAGCTCAGCAGCCCGTCCCCTTGCAGAAGTGAAACCAAGGACACGCTGGGGAATTCTGCCTGCGATGTGCATCAGGTTGTTATTCCCATGCATCGCTGCCCTCAGCCGCTGCGGCAGGGGAGGCTGGGCTTTGGGTTCAGACCCATCACTGCAGCTCTCCCAGCAGCATCCCGACCTGGACAGCGCAACAGGGGAGCTGGACCGGTGTCGCTACTAGAAGACAAGTCTTCCCTCCTCCTCCCATTAGCTGTACCTAGGTCATTCCCCAGTCCAGGTCATGGAAGGAGGCAGAGGGAAAAGAGGGTTTTCCATATTCCCAAGAAAGTTAAAAGGTAACTTCCCACGTACTCCTCATCACTAGCGTCGCGGGCAGTCGCTTCCCGGGGTCTCTGGGCAGAACGGAGATGAACCCAGACAGAACGTGAAGGGTTTGGTCTGGCCCATCTTCCCCACCCCACAACCCTCAGGGTGCTCATCAGTCCCTGGAAATCAGGCCCTTGTGAGGCACCTCCAGGCAGGTGGCCCCAAGTCACCAGGCCCTGCTGGAGGGTTTAGGTGGGGGCTCCCAAAGCCCTTGGCATTGGCCTACCACCGCCCCCTCCAGATACATTTATGCCACATCCCTGGCATGCCCCAGGCAAGGTGCTCTCCAGCACCTGCTCGCACAGGAAATATGGTGAAGCCACACAGGCCCCAGACCGAGATGTCCAGAGCGGTATCGCCCCCAACTGGGATCCTCTGCCTCACTTCTGGACTTGGCATGTGCAAGCGGAAGTGGGGCAGGGGAGCAGGGCGCGCTCAGGAGTGCCCCTCCTGGAGCTGTGGGGATGTGGTGCAGGCAGCACAGAGAGCATACATACATAGGCTGCCCCTGTGCCCTTGGAAAGGCAGTGCCCACCCTAGGGTGCTGGCAGCCCAAGCTGGAGGAAGCAGTGGGATGAGAACCGGAGCTCCAGCAGCAGCCATAGCCTCACAGCTCACGGTGCAGACACAGAGCTGGGCTTGCCTTGCACCTCCCCAGGGTAAAGGCCACACTAGCCCTGTGCTTCCATGTGCTGCAGGACTGTCAGGCTGAAGGATGTTCTTATCCCCAGGGCAAGTCCCACCGGGGGCCATCTGTGCCTTGCAGGGAGCTACAAGACAGCCCTGTTCTGCTGCTAACAAGAAGGGAAGCTTCTGTCTTGCTTAGATGCAAAAAAATCCCCCTCTCCCTTTTGCACTGCAGGCAGCCTGTCAGCAGCATCACGGCCGTCCCCGCCCCAGCCGCCCCTGGCTCCCCCGGAACGGCTCCAGGGGAGAATTATTCCAACATCCGTGCCATCCACAGCCGCCTTCGGTCTGCGCTCCCTCCCACCGCAGCCCCAGGTGCTGGCTTCGCTCTCTCAGCATAAGACTTTAATCTCTCGTTTCCCTTTGCCCACAGGCAACAATCCCAGCAGGATTCGCTGCGGTTTCTGACAAACTGCTCCAGGCAGCTCACTGCGTGAAGCCTTTCTGGACAGGCCTTCAGAAACCAAAGCCCCGCGTGGTTATTAAAGGTCCTCCGGTGTCTCCCAGAAGAGCAGGATGAGCCCAAGCATCCCCCCGCACCTGCAGTTATACACAGTGATGCCCAGCTGGTCCCCTCCAGCTCACCACACTGGAGGGAGCTAGCTGTACATGCAATTAGAGAAGCACTTTAGGATAAAAACAGCTAGTGAGGGACTGTGGGATCCTCCCACAGCCTCTCTCTGCTTCAGGGATCCAGGCCCAAACAGCGGCAGACAAAGATCTCTTCGGCCTCCTCTCGCTGTTTGGTCAGCCTTCAGCCTAAAAATGATTTTGCTTCCCAAGATGAAGCAGGGTTACCCTGTTTTTTGGGGGTTTTTTTGCTGAGGAGCAGATCGCTGAAGCCAGAACTCCTTAGGCCCTGAACTGAAAGGGCAGGGGATGCAAGAACATGAACAAGGATTTAAATGGGATTTTCTCCCATGTATCTGCACAGCAAAGGCGTTCACAAAACAAAGCTCCCTGATTACCCCCGAGTATGGCCAGCATGGCAGTGCTAGGACTTGCGGTCACATCTCCGTTAAAAACCCCTTCCTCCACTGCTGTCTGTGGCCACAGTGCTCTCACCTCCATCCACCCTGTGGCCAAATTCCCCACCAGCCTCTGGTCCCCGGGTCCTTCTCTGAACTTACCGGCCATGCATGAGCGCAGACCAAACCTCTGGGAAGGAAGCCGGGTGAGCAAATGGCTGCTAGGCTGCCACAGTCACTCATGCAAACTTGTACCACTCCCAGAGCAAGTTTCTCTGGGAATTTCTGGGAGAAGCCGTGTGGTGGGGTCCACGCTACGACTGCATGAAGGTGTGCGTGTAGCGGAGGGGGTCTCTGCAAGCCAGTGGGGTGCAGAGCTGCGGGGCTGTCTGGTCTGCAAGGACTGGCTCTGTGTGTGTTTGCTCTGTGAGCACACAGCTCTCCTCCAGGTGGGCCTCATGTGGCTGATTGCAGTGTGCATCACGACCAGGTGTGAGCCAGGCAGGCTTTGTGCCTTAGGTCAAGGTAGCCCCTTGCAAAGAGAGGACAGGGGCTGAGAGACAGACAGAGACCTGTGGAGGCAGCAGCAGCAGGTCGTCCTGCTCCATGTTTTTGCCACATGGTGTCACTGCCGGCTGCGAATCTGCTTCGGGCTCTTGGGTTTGCTAATTCAAGAGGCCGCCGGCAGGGACCTGCGCCAGCCACGTGCTTGGCTTCCACCACCACATTCACAGTACTTGGGGGCAGAGATGCCCACGCCGCATGGCAAGTCTCCAGGGGCTGCTTCCTGCTCCCCTGGTAAAATCCCCCCTCCCCGCAGCAGCACAGGCCCACGCAAACGCTGAGCTGAGTGCCCGCAGGGAGGCAAAGGGCAGGACTAGGTGGGACTGGGCACTGGCAGGGTTAAGGTGGATCGATTCGGGGAGCAGGCAGCCAGAACAGCCAGAGCTAGTGGGGGAATTTCCCATCTGATGCCCAAGTGGATCCTCTCGAGTTTCCCTAAAATCCTCCCATGGCAGGAACCTCTGACGGGGCTGAAACGATTCCTTCCCTGTGTTACAGGCCAAGCACAAGGCTGTTTTGCTTCTGCTGTGTTAAATCTCCGGTATCAGGGAATTCCAGCAGTTTTGCTTGTCCCGGGGTGAAAACAAAGCTGGTTTGCTGTAACGGACTCGAACATGGAGGCTTGCTGTTCTCACGCATACACAACCTCTCTGCTACTCACTGCTGCCAGAATACGACCGGTGGCGAGACCTGCAGACAGAGAATTACTCACTCTTTCCTAGCAATGAGACCCATTAAACAGCGGAGCAGGCTCTCCCCAAGGGAAGTGGCGAAAACCCCGCTCCTTAGTCATCTCAGATGGGAAAGGGTGAAGCGAGAGACCAGGCTGGGATAGGGGCTGCCCTGTCCTCGGGAGAGGAGCTGCAGGCTTTTCCCACCTCCCCATTTACAGTTCTAAGAATTCTTCCAAGCTTCAAAAGAAAAGCGAAACCCCAGGCTGTCACTGCTGGGTTCAGTGCCTTAAAAGTGAGAGAAGGCCTGTGCATCGGTTTTAACTATGAAACAGCAGGGATCCGATGAGGCAGCGCAGGTGAATAAGCACTCCCATGCAAAAATGGTCCCGAACCTACAAAACCTTGGGTGCATCTACACGTGACACTTCAGTGCACATTAGTCCAAGTTAATGTGCATTACAGGTGTGCATCTACACGTGCACATCCTTAATGTGCATAAAAAATGGCGAAGTTCGGCTACTCGTGCCTAAATTGGATACCTGCAAATGCAGGTATCCAATTTAGGTGCAAATAGTTAAAGTGCATTAACGCACATGTAGATGTGTTAAAGCACATTAACACTGTGTGTGCAGACCAACTTGGGACTAATTTTAGTCCCAAGTCAGTCCACACGCAGAATTAATGTGCTTTAATGCCTGCACATGTAGATGCCTGCCTAAACCCGCTTAATTTGCATCAAGCTAATGCACATTAAATTTAGGTCCACTTAAATGCATGTGTAGATGCAAACTAGAGCCAATGGTCCCAATGGAGCAAACATTACTGAGACGAAGGATGCACCTAGATTCTGGTCCTTTATCACAGATTCGCTCTGCAGCCCCAAGCGTGCACTGCACCTTTCAGCCTCAGTTTCCCCAACTGCACAATAGCAACGGCCTCTGCAAGGGTGTAGTGTCTGCAAGGGGTTTTAAGATCCTGGAGGGGGGTGAGGCAGGGGAGAGACAGGGGCTGATGTTCTCAGTGTATGGGAAACCCACCCTGCACAGTACCTGCTTGTAAAGGAAAGATTGGCTCCTGAATTCCAGCTCCCAAAACTGCAACCGCCTAGAAAAAGACACAAAGACCAGCATTTAAAATCAATCCTGCATCCCAGCTTGTCTTCCTTCAACTCCTGGACCCTCAAGGGAGCAGAAGTCACTGGGAAATCACAAGCGCGCAGAAGAGTCAAGGTGGAGCTACGAGTTTCCATGTCTGATTTCAAACGGCCTTGCTGATCTGGAAAGGTGAACAGCAAGGTGCTGAAGTGGGAGCCAGGCTGACCTTGCACGGTCAGTTATCTAGCAAGCCCAGCTCCCCAAAGCACATCCCCAACCCAAGCTTCCCTGTAAATCTCAGTCGATGTCATGGGCCAGTTCTGACAAAACTGGCAAATTTCACAGTGCCAAAGGAGAAGTCACATCAACGGGAGAAATTGAAATGCTGTTTCTAAGAGCATGCAGGACAGGACCCATCCACCACCCAGCAGGACAGGACCTGTATCCCGTCCCCAGCTCATGTCCTGGAACCTGAAGGATGCCCACACAGCACCAGGTGTAGGAGGAACACAAGAGATGGCGGGGCATGCTCTCTGCTCAGCATGCGTGCAGCTCTCTCGGTCACTCTCTGGCCAGCTCCATCAGGGTGTGTGGTGAGAAGATGGGTCCTATCCACACCCAACAGCGACATACACAGAATCATGGAAAATGAGGGTTGGAAGGGAACTCAGGAGGTCATGTCTAGTCCACCCCTCTGCTCAAAGCAGGACCAGCCCCAACTACATCATCCCAGCCAAGGCTTTGTCTAGTCGAGTCTTAAAATGGAGCTTTGTCCACCTCTCTGGGTAACCTGTTCCAGTGCTTGACTATCCTCCTAGCAAGAAAGTTATTCCTAATCTCTAATGTAAACTTCCCTTGCTGCAACTTGAGCCCATTGCTCCTTGTTCTGTCATCTGCCCCCACTGAGAACAGCCCAGCTCCATCCTCTTTAGAACCACCCCGCAGCTAGCTGAAGGCTGCTATTAAATCCCATCTCAGTCTTCTCTTCTCCAGACTAAATAAACCCAGCTCCCTCAGCCTCTCCTCACAGGTCATGTCCCCCAAATGGTCCCACCCTGAACCATTTTTGTTACGCTCCACTGGACATGCACGCAATGTAGCCCCAAAAAAATCACTTCTGCACAGGCAAGGCCTGGTGATCGAACAGGGAAAGGAAAGGATGCAGGGTAGGGGGGTCAGCAGGGGATTGGCAAGTCAGGAGCAAAGGGCAGGGGGGTATGAGATGGAGCCAATGGGGCAGCCCAGCTTGGCAGGGGAGGTGGTGCTGTGGGTCTGGACAACAGCAGTTGTGCTGGCTTGGGTCTGCTTCCTGGCAGAAGTAATTTGAGCCTGTTACCATCCTCACTCCCCCAAGAAATAATAAAGCACACTCAATCCATCACATGCATGTATTGACTCCAGTGCATGGACCTAACAAAAGGATGAACAGCAAATCATTGCCAGACACAGCAGGCTTCTTCCCCAAGGCCCAGCACATTGCAGCATTTGCCCTTTCCTGCTTGAATGCAGGTGAAGTGGGGGGTAGGACCTTTCACACCAAGACCCTGCAATGTGGAAACAAATGCAGGTGCTCTGGAACCAATTCCCGGCCTAGCCAAGCAATTAAAGATGGAGGGAAAGCCTCTTCCCTCTGCTTAGGGAATTACTTCAGGCTGATGTGCTTGAGGGTGTTAGATGGTCCCCTGCAAAGAGGGGAAGAGTCTGTTTTTGAATCCTACATCCTCTCTGCCTCCCTTTGGACAGGACCTGGGCTCCCATCCCCACTCCAAATAAGCCAGAGTGGTGCACAGCAGAGCCAGAAGGGGAAGGGGACATGGGGGGAGTGCATTCACTGGCAGGGCTGGATGGATGTTTCTAAGGCAGGGCATTTCGGGTCAGTTGGCTGGCTGGGAGAACCTTGCCCCCTTCTCGAGCTGTTCAAGGCATGTCAGAGCTGGTCTACCTGCTTCTCAGAAGCGCTAAAAACCAGCCTCCCCTCCCATGGGTAATAAACTGCTTTTAGCATCCCTGCTATTAAGCAGTTCATGTCTAGGTGGGGGAGGGGGGTCCCACGACTTATATGCCTGCTGTAGCCTGAGCAGGCATCTCCCAGGAGGATGGATAAAACATGTTCTGCTTCGGAAGATGCAAAATGGGCCTTAATTGAAGACTTTTACTTAGCAGGAGGTGCTGCAGCCCTTATGCACAATTTTAACTCTTGGCATCTTGAAGTGATGGGGAGTGAAGGAGAACTACTTGCAGTAGCTAGAAACACCATCCATCACCAAGCCAAGTCAGAGCTCAGGGGCTGATTCTTCCCTTTCGCCCCCATGCTGCTTTCTGTTTTCAGGCGCACACACATTGGATCAGGCACTCGAGCCTGGCAAAATGATGGCTCCATTCAAGTGATGGAGATGGGCTGAGGGGGGCAGCTGCACTGGCTACGATGCTCAGGGAAGTGGTGCTGTAGCTGAAGGAAGGAGGGGACATGATAGAAGCGTGCCAAATACCGAGTGGAAGCGGCGGTAGCAATGGAAACGGATAGTCTCCCCGTCTCACGATGCAAAAGGAGGCTACATGAGCTGCCAAAGCAGCATGCCCCAAGCTGAGCAACAGTGTTGTCCACCTGATGCACAACCAGTCGGTGGAAATCACGGCATGAGGTATCGTGTGGACTGAGAGGCGGCGTGGGATTCAGGAAGGGATTAGACACTGAGACAGGTAACCAGGATAGCCAGCACTAGTGATTTCCAGAGCAGAGTTTGGGAAGGAACAAACCTCCCCACTGTGTGGCATAGGCTAAGCTCCCAGGAGAAACCTTTCTGGGTGCACACAGACCCATAGATGCCCCCCTCCCTGACACCTGTGATGCAGCTGGTGCTGGCCACTGTCACATACTAGGAGTCCTGGTCCAGCTTGAAGGTCTTTACCTATGTCTTCAGGACCTAGCCTCACCCTGGCCCTCCCAGAAGATGCGGCTGTGGGTGCTGGACCAGGCACAGCCAGCGCTCCCAGGCTGTCCGCCGACCCTTCTGCCACTGCTGTGTTACATGGGCCATGCTTTGAAGACCAAACAGTCTCCACGAACTTTGGGGCCGGGAGCAGCAGTCCTGCCGGAGGCCGAGGCAGGATCAAGTGCTGACCTGCAAAACCCGCTTGCAATCAAACGGCAAAAAATGGTTCCTACCTGTCAAAGCAGCCTGGGATGCAGCCTCCCAATGAGACAAGCTAGTCAGAGGCTGTCAGCATGCTGTCAGGCCGAGGAGGCCTGTTTACTTCCAAACAAGCTGAACTAAACAGTTTGCCTCTAATGGCATCTCGCTAGCATCTCGTCAGTCATTCTGAAGGTGTCTGACCACCCTGGACCAGGGCGTGCTCTGCTGCTGGCTCTCCACGGTCTCCCCACGTAAGCACTGAGCCTTTCTTAAGCATTTATTTCTAAGTAGGTAGATCCCAAAGAAGGAAAGGAAATGCCTGGATATCCATCCTGCCAAGTGTTAGGTCTGCCAGATGATGTGGACAACCGCTACAACCTTGAACAGCATACGCTCAGTGACCCCCTGGGACTGGAACCATATGGCTCGCCGGGGTGTTGAATTTTCCACGACAGAGCTTTCCCCCAACTGCTGTTTAGATGGCAGATGAGTTACATGACTGCTAATGGAAACAAGGGAGCTGGAATATAATACTTCCATCCACCCTTTGTACTTCATCAGATTGCTCTGGCTTCACATCTGACATCTCAGTCCTACTAAATCCCCAGTTGTCCACAGAGCCTTCCAGAGCAGACAAGAACTGCACTGGTATCCCAAGCAGCGATTTCCCCTCCAGCTTTTTAGACCTTTTTTTTTTATTTGTCATGCAGCAATAACATTAAGAAGGGGCTATTTTCTGGACTTTTTGCACCCTCTGACAATTGCCCAACTCTTTGAAAATGAACAAGGTCCGCCAAACCAGATCCTCGCACTCAATTTGCAACACCATTTTACTGTTACTCACTTCCATGTGATACAAGGCCCCCCACTTCTACACACAGGCTGACCACTACTTAGCTGGCATCAGCCATAACCATCTTGCCTGCTAGATAGGCAGGCAAGGTTCTTTGGGGAGACGCGGTATCTTTTATTAGACCAATTAAATAGTTGGTCTAGTAAAAGATATATTAGATAAATAGTTGGTCTAATCAAATCACATCTCCCCAAAGAACCTTGCCTGTCTATGTCCTTAGACCAGCATGGCTATAACCAACAACCCAGCTAGACAGGTATTTCCTTCACCCTCCCCTGAAGCAGCTGGTGCTCTCCATTAAGCTAGATGAATTGCAGTGCTCTAGTCTGGCACTTGGACTATTCCCCTGCCACTGGAGATACACCTCCATGGTTTCCTGAAGCTGAAGAGCTTGCAACAAAGACAGGAGGTAGGAATCAATGCCTGTAGGCAAAAAGGGGTAAGTAGTTTTGTCCCTTCCCCTCTGCCCTCCTCGAGAATTCAAGATTTGAAGGATGAAAAGTAGTCAGAATTTCAACCTGCTGAAGAAAGTGGAAAGGGAGCAAAGATATGGGGAGGAAAAAGCCTGAAGAGGCTGATGAGGGAAGCAGAAGGAGGTGGGGAAGGAAGCAGTACGGGACGATGGAGAATGCAAGTCCCTTTCATTCCAACCTTTGCTGCGGGAGACCTGGCTGGCCCTCTCCCGTTCTCTGGAGACATGCAGAAATGCTCCCTCCACCTCTGATTTCTGCTTCAGGGCACGGGGCTGTCTGCATCGTCGGCCATTAATCGCTGCCCAGACCAACGAGCATAAGAAGCAGGTGGTACAGATGAGCATCTTGGTCACAGAGCAGCACCAGCACAATGAAAGCAATGCATGCTTGGATCTCTCTCGAGCAGCTGGATGCCAGGGCCCTGCTGCCCACACCTTCCCGCATGGCTCAGGGCTCCTGCCCACGGAAGGGACTATGCTGTTCTGCCATGACCTCGAACATCTAGCCAGCTTTCCATGCACCCCCTCACCAGGACAGCCTCTTTGCTCTG